AGAGATAACAAATGCCCTAACCTCACTGATAAGATATTTGTATATCAAAGGACAGGAAATAAGTCTGGCAAAACTCTGGAACTTTCTACCTGAGTGAAATTTCAAGTGTTTTAGTAGCTGGGAGCTTGTCAAGATAGTCCTTCTTGCTTCCCTACCCACCTACCTACTGACTGATCCTACAGTTCTGTTGGTTTTATCTCTAGATATTTCTAAGGTAATGTAATGATAATTTATATGTTCTTTTAAGTCTTTAATTTTACACAAGGGAAAAAAAATTGATTGGCTTACTATCCATTCCAGTGGATTCCTATCCTCAGTTGACTAGCACAATTACCTTTCTTTCATTTGACATAATTTATTAGTCACCTGGAGGAAAAAGGAAACATAAAGGCTTGTGTTTATGATTATGGCTATCTTGATATTATTTTACTATCTTCATATATCAACTGATGCCTGACTCACCTTTTATGAACATGGATAACAATTCCTTGTGTTACAATAAGACATCACCACTGAACAGGGATCAGACCTAGTTACCTATGCTGAACGTAGTATTAGCACATAATAGATATTCAATACATATGTTTAATCAGGCATGTAGATTTTAGGTCATTTCCGTTCCTGTCTTATATCTGTTAGACTTGACTTTTAAAAAGACTTACTTGCTAATAAACTATGCAGAAATAAATTAGAAAGAATGTATCATGGTGCTTGCCAAATCTGAAATTCTTCCATCCAGCTTGGCCCATCTTTTTCCAACTGGGACTATTTCCAAGTGGATTTTTCTTCACCATGGAGAACCACATATCCAATTAGTGAGACCCATTCCCAACTACTGCCTACAGTACCCCTGGGGGTTGAGCTTATTCCTTTTTACAGAAAAATTATATTAAACAGGCCCTGTGAAAAGTATCTCAATTCACTGCTGAATTATATATCTTGGGATTTACTCAGGAAACTTCAACAATAAAAAGAACTCGCCAACGCTTGGTAAACAGATATGTGGGTAAAAACGTAACTTTTTTTTCTTAAAGATTTATTTATTTTCATTGGAAAGTCAGATATACAGAGAGGAGGAGAGACAGTGAGAAAGATCCGTCCGATGATTCACTCCCCAAGTGAGCACAACGGCCGATGCTATGCCAGTCCGAAACCAGGATCCAGGAACTTCTTCCAGGTCTCCCACACAGGTGCAGGGTCCCAAGGCTTTGGGCCGTCCTTGACTGCTTTCCCAGGCCACAAGCAGGGAGCTGGATGGGAAGGAGAGCTGCCAGTATTAGAACCGGCGCCCATATGGGATCCTGGTGCATTGAAGGTGAGGACTTTAGCCACCAGGACCAAAACATAACTTTTTAAAGCCTTGGGTTGATAGGGTCATCATGAACTATCTTTCTATACTTAAGAAAACCAAGATTCAATATCATGGCTTTTTCTTTTTTTTTTTTGACACAAAGTGAGAAAATGACACAGAGATGTTGACTACATGAGAAAGGGTTATTCTAGAATTTAAGTTTCATGTGAATTATTTTCGAAAGGTACTGTGCTCACAAATTTAAAACTGAGTGCATTTCTCTGTTTATGAACATTAACATGTGAAATGGAGTTTTCTCAGGCACATGCCACAACCTTAGGTGGCTTTAAACAACAGAAATGTAATTGCTCACAGTTGTGTAGGCTGGAAGTCCACAACTGGGGTTGCAGTAAGATCATTTTTTTTTTTTTTAAACATAGCCTGTGTTCCAGCTTTCTGACTTGGGTTCTTGCTGTGTCCTCACATGGTCTTTCCTCTGGGCCTGCACTGATAAGAGAACTCTGGTGATTCTTCCTTTTAAGAGGAAGTTGGCCTGATCAGATTAGCACTACATCCTCCTGACCTCAGTTGACTTTGATCACCTCCCAGTGCCCTGCCTTTAAATATCTAGACATTAAAACGTTAATGCAAAATGCCACCTGGGCCATCCTTTCAAAAATAATTTAAATATGTCTTTACCATGGGAGTTTGTTTTGCAAATTACTTTACACTTGTAGTGCCCACAGCAAACTTGGATGGTATAAAATACTACCTACCACTACTTTCTAAGAACTTGTTGATGAAATATATGCTATTAAATTATCTTTCTAAAACTATAAAAAAAATACAGATTTGTATAAAACCTCTTAATCCTACCTCGCAATTATGCCATTTTGTTCCCTCCCATTCATTGCACTAATAGAGTCATTGAGTTTCACAATACAAATTACATTGAGACCAGTATGTGTTTACCTCTTTAATATTATTCCATAGTGCTTTTCCTTCATTGGTATACTGATTGAAAAAGCCTTTGAATGCTTCATTTCAATGAACTAGAGCAAATTTCATTTCCTGAGCTTTTTACAAGACAGTATTGACTTCTTTGGACACACTCGTCCATTCAATTGTGCCTGTCACAAATCCAAACTCCATTTGTCTGTATGAAATATCTTTGAACATATACCATTCATTGAATTCTTATTTTAAAAATGGCATCAGAAGCAGCTATAGGTGAGACTGAATTGATCACTCCAAAATAGCCACCAGTCCTCCTAGGGCTTTTTGCCCTCCTGACCCCAGCCAGGCAGGCTCCATTGCCAGACCTTCCTAAATTGGCCTCATTGGGTTTATGCATGACATGAATAGGTTCAAGCTATGTGAAAATGGGGTTAGTGCACTAATTTACAGCTGAGAGGTAGAAAGTTTGGTTAGAAATTGGAAGCTTTCTCTGAAAACAAAACATATCCCAGTACTGCATATGCTCCATGACGGTGAGATTATTTAAATTATAAGAAGGCGTGTGTTTACTTGAATGGACTGTTTTAAGGGCTAGCAATTCTACACACTGCAAAGTTGTAGCATAGGAAGTTGGGTTTCAAGGAGTCAGGAATCAAGCTGTATCTTGTAAATGGAAACAAGAGGCAAAAGAAAGGAGTTCTCTGATGTTGTTCAGAATCACTGGAGTTGAGAACCACAGCCTCAATCCATCTGTCACCTACTCATGACAAGCAAGGAATGAGGGCCAGGTTCCTCCTTTGTTCTCCTGTTACAATATTCAATGTCCCCTGCCAGGGCTTGTGCTGTGGTTGAGAAGTATCTGGGCTGCAGATAGAGCAGAAAAATTCAATTCTTTGGGGCCATATTCAGCCTTCTCATGTCACAAGAAACAGGCTCATTAGCCATCTTCTTTTCTCTTCACCACTTAAATCCTATGTTGCAAAACTGTATCTGGAGCTAAAATAACAGCACATTTATAGAAAGTACCACTCTGCCCTAGTCTATGATGTGGGAAAACAGACATCTTCAGAACAGATAAGGTAGAGAAGTCATCCCACCCATAGTCAGTTATCCCTCACGTGTTTATACCCATCACATTCTTTGATGTCTCATGTGGTATTGAAGGAATGTGGCATTTAAATGTTCCATGTGTAAAGGAGTAGGCAAGATTAATCTCCAAGTGCTGACATAATTAGTCAAAGAGCTTCACCTGACTGTTACAGTTGGTTAACTTATGCATTCTCTTGTCCTAATTCCAAGAGGATCTATAAAACACACAAGACAGAATCTGTAAAAATCAATGTCCCTTAAATACCCTGAGTTGATCAGCATACAATGTATCTACACAGGAAAGATGACCACATGGGACATGAGTGTTTTCTATAAAATAAACCTCAGAAAAGGCTGGAATTGTTACGAGGAAAAATATCAACCAGTGACTACATACTAAGCCAACAACTGAGTGTAAGCAACAGGTGGTTTCTATTTCCATGGAGTTTACATGGATTAACTCATTTCAACTTTGCATGACCATCTCATGTTACTCAGGCAGAAACTAGAGTGTGGCAAGGTTAATCATTTGCGTAATGTCACACAACTCCTCAGTGTGACCTGGGATCTGAGTTCAACCTTGCATGCAACTCGCATGTCCAGCTGGGATCCCTGCTGCCTTCTAGACTTGGTAAGGCCACTTTCCTGAGCTTGAACCCTGACAAATAAAGAATACCCAAAAGTGCTCCTTTAGAAAGACACTGGGTAGATTGTATGACAAGTAATGTGTATCTGAAGTTTGTGCAAGGCCCAGAAGTTTCCTTTTAAAAATATCTATTTCTCGGGGAGTGAGCATTTAGTCTGAAGGTTGGGGTTTCTATGTGCTGTGTCAGAGTGCCTGGCTTTGCCCCCAGTCTTCTGGCTCCAGCTCTGGCCTAGTCCTAGCCTTTGCAGACATTTGAGGAATGAATAGCTAACAGGATCTCTTTCAGTCTGTCTCTCTTCCTATCTTGCAAAAGAAAAAAAGAATTGTGAAATCAACTCTTATTAAAAAGGGCTTTAATGGTAACTCAGTAACATGGCTAATGTGATTCGAAATCTGAATTTCCTAAGGTGAATGGCACTTGATGGTCGGGCATAGTTCCTGTCCTTGACACCTGCTCCCCGCCTTTTTATTTACTTCCTAGCCTTTTGTACTGATCAGCAGTGAACTTGCTTGTGTTGTTCTGTGTTTGTATCGCTGGCTTCTCCTGCTGGGGTGACAGCTGGCACCTGCCAACCTTGCTTTCCTGCATCTCCAGGACTCAGTACAGGGGATGGCACAGTCAGTGCTCAACACTATGCTTGAACACCTGTTTCTGCCTCCAGGTTTCAGTTCACATGTTACCAGCTGTGGTACCTCCCATGCATCCCCTCTTCATTCCAGCACTTCCATGTCATAGTTAACCATTTCTCAATGGTGTCTGACTCCTCTATGAGATTACAGGCAATTGTTCAAGAACAGGAACCTTATGGTGCTCATTTCTTGCCCAGAGTCTCACGAGAGAGCTGAGCACAGTAGTGGCAATGAAAAAAACAAAAACAAACGAAAAAATTGCCTTTAGAAGCCACGATGCTCCCTCTGGGCCTGATCCTTCGTCATGCATTCAAAGCTCACTTGTAACAGGATTTGGCATTTGAGAACATCTGCGAAATAAGCTTCATTATTTCTCTACCTTTTCAGGAACCGCTTTGGGAAGCTACATACCAGAAAGTGAGGAATCATGTCCATGATCGCGGCTTTCTACAGCGGCAAGTCCATCCTCATCACGGGGGCCACAGGCTTCATGGGCAAAGTGCTGATGGAGAAGTTGTTCCGGACCAGCCCCGACCTGAAAGTTATTTACATCCTTGTGAGGCCCAAGGCTGGCCAGACGCTGCAGCAGCGTGTTTTCCAGATCCTCAACAGTAAGGTATGTCTTGTGAAAAGGACCTAGAACAAGACTAACTGCTTCATCCCACGGAGCAGGTGGGGGCCAGAGTCGTACACAGGTAAGGGAAGGAGGCCGATTCAAGTAGCAGCCAACTGCTGATGGAAATCTGTGGGTTTTTCCCAAAACAGAGGAATCCCTGCCCAGACGCAGTTGAGGACAGATGAGTAGCATGTATGTTCTGAAAGTCAGCAAGAATAAAAATTCTATGGCTCCCAGAGCGTGGGATGGCTGAGAGTCTGGCACAGTGATGGAGACGTTGCTTTGGGCCTAGGGGCTGGCATTGGGACACATCAGGTATAGTCATTGCCTGTGACAGCTGGCATTCCATGTGGGCGCCAGTCCATGTCCTGACTGCTGCACTTCCCATCCGGCTCACTGCTAATGACCTGGGAAAACCAAAGATGGGGGATCCAGATGGAGGTTCTGGCTCCTGCTTCTGACATGGCCCAGTTCTGGCAGTTACAGACATCAGGGGAATGAACCGGTAGAAGGGTGATTGCTCTCTCACCCATTCTCTCTGTAAATCTAACTTTCAAAAATAATAAACCTTAGAAAAAGAGCTGCCTGGATATAACAGAACCCCTAGGTTCCATGCCTAACCCAGACTGCTAATCCAGACCCTGGCAGGCAGCGTGGAATAGTTTGATGCCTGTGTCCCTGTCATTCATGGAGCTTCGGGTTGAGTTCTAGGCTCCTGGCTTTGGCCTAGCCAGCCGTTGCTGTTACAGGCACCGGAAGAATGAACCAGAGATGGAATGTCCCTCTCCTCCACTATCTGGCAGATAAAACAAAAATAGATAAATTTTAAAATAAAAAAAAAGTCCTCCTAGAGCGGACATTACAGCTTCAGAATCAGTCTCAACTCACCTAAACTCTTCACTAATTTCCTACTAAATTTAACGTAGTATTTTTTAAGCCCTAAATTATTTTTTAATATTCTTATATTCTGTGATGTATGGAACAGGTAATCTTCCTGAGGAGCCCAGCAGAAGCACTGTCAGTTGTCGCAGCTCTGCAAAATTTAGCAGTTAAATGTTTTATTGATGGAAGCTTGCTATTTCTGTCATCCTGTAATTTGTTTCTAAGGTAAAAAAAAAAACATTGGGAATAAAGTATCATGCCTGTGAATAAGCGCTGTATATTAAACTCTCTTCTCCAAAAAATTATGCATGTCCTCTCAGGTTTTAATTTATCATTTCCAAGGCAATGCGGTTTCAGTCTCAAGCATTCTGAATGCAGATTCTGATGTATCAATTAGCTCCAGATTTCCAGCATTTAAAATAGAAATAAACAGCATCATCCATCTCCCATATTACTATGTGATGTGTACAGGGCTACTTAAGGCTAGAAAAGGGAAAATGTAAAGCCTCTGATATATATATATATATATATATATATATTTTTTTTTTTTTTACCATGTTTCCTATGCAGTATATAGGAATGCTATGGCTGCACATTATGCAGGCATCTGCCCACAAACATAGTGGTGTCACCAGAGTAAGATTTTTTTGCCATAGACTCAGACAGGCCTCCTCCTGCCCATCACTTCCTGACTCAGCAGCCTGACAGGTGGTCACAGGAGTTCCCTGGAACCTCATCCCTGAAAGATGCCATTCAAAGGGCAACAAAGCTGTACAAAGTAAGAACTGTCAGTAATACTCTACCATAGGTGGGGGCACTAAAGCTTGATATGTTGACTAACCAAAGGTCACTTACTTTTAAACAAGAGAGTCAGACTTCAGGCCCAGGCCTGGCCCACCTGCTTCCACTCCACCCTGTCTCCCTGTGAATAATGCATCGTCAGACTAAGGTCAAAGGGTAGCAGACATTAAACCAAAACACGTCAACCTCCAGATCCCTGCAGACAGCACTGCTCAGCCAGGTACACCTCATGGTCCTTGTCATCACACAGCAGGCATTCCTATCTAGTAGGTCTGTTTCCACCTGTCTGTGTGTGGAGAAGTACTGAGGCAGCGTCTTGTGGTCAGCGCCATCTTCGCCTGCATCTCTTTTTGATGCCTTGTGTTTGATAACACAGCAAAGTTACTTTGATTCTAGAAATCAGGATTGGATAGTGAAACTCATATGCTGTGAAGACATCTGTGAAACACCTTGCAGATCCTATCTGCTTCCACAACTAGGCTATTTATTGTCATCTATTGCCTGTTACATGACAGTAAATACAGACCAAGACAAGCAAGGTGTCACCTGGGGAGCTCTCAAGGGTTGCAGAGTTACACTGAAGTAAATTTGAGTCTCAGCGGTACCAGTTACTAGACTTGGGATGGTGAGTAGCACAGGGGCTTTGTTGTATTGCACCTTGACTTCTTATCTTTAAAATGGAGCAGTAACCCCTTGTGCAGCAAGGGGAGTCTCTTCTCCACTCCCAGCCCCCACATTTTATCTTTGTCTTTCCCTTGCTCTCTTCCGGCTTCAAATCCAGACCTGACATCATGACATATGGCTTTAACCACCACCCCTCATAATTAAGCTATGCTAATAAGGATTATATCTACAAATTGTTTTCACACTAAAGAAATTGTAGGAGACAAGAAATGTTTAAATTCAATGGATTCATGTATTTACTTAAAAGGCAAAGTGACTGAGAATGAGGGAAGAAGAAAAGGAGAAATCTTCCATCCATAGGTTCACTTTAAAATATCTGCAACACCAGGAGCCAGGAGCTCTATGCTGGTTTCCCACATGGGTGACAGGGGCCCAGGAATGTTGTCATCATTCACTGCCTTCCAAGACATATTATCAGGAAGGTGGATGGGAGATGGAGCTGCCAGGATTCAAACTAGCATTTCAACCTGGGATGCTACAAGGAACAGTTTAACCCACTGCGCCTTAATGCCAGCCTTAGAATCTGTTATCTGTTACCTAGTTGAGAAATGTCTTATTTGTAGGAGGCCACTGTGATTACATGGCAACTTTGCAGGTAATGAGAACAAAATTATCTTCTGATTCCTCCTTTAAAAACCTAAGCTGGGATTATACAGATGCCTCCTTTCCTGGCATTTTGCTCAATCTGCTAATGACAAAGAGATTATCCATGGAAAAATCATGTGATTTCATGTATAACTACCCCAAGACTTATAAGCTCCAGCTGCACAAATTGTAAATAATTCAACTCCAAAAATGCCGTTATTGGGTGGTCACAGGAGTCAGGAGCCAGGAGCTTCTCCCTGGTCTTCCACATGGGTGTAGGGCCCAAGGCCTTGGTCCATCTAAAAATGCTCAGTAGCCATATGTGGCTAACAGTGTGTTTATTAGACACAGCAGGTGTATTTCTATTGTAACAGAGTTTTACCAGTCCATATGTGCCTAGAGGGGTGAGTGCTTGGTAGATGAAGACTATGTTGCAATTCAGGTTTCCTTGGTCCCCATAACTTTTATTCATTGTCTGGTCGCGTGCTGGAGGGCCTGTGCTTTGTTAAGTATAGGGAAGGCACAAATGATATGGAGACAGAAATGACATCACCAAGTCAGAGAGAAGGATGTGTGAAGTAGCCTGCGTTCTCCAGGGAGAACAGCACCAGGAAGGTTCAAAGCAGAGAGCAGCAACCCATGCAGGTGGAACGGTCAGGAGCTGCGCCTGCACTGCTTGAGCTCCGGTTGGCCCAGTCTGTGAGATCTTCACCTCGGTCATTTTGTTTTGGTTTTGTGCCCTTATTGGTGTGATAGTTGCCATGGTTTCAGGCTTCACAAGCAAGGGCACTTTAAGAATTCATGGGAAATGGGATTCAAAGATAAATTTATTTTGGTGCAGAAATATGTTGAAAGGTATGCACAGTTTTCTTCATACTACATATTTTTCATGGTTCTTTTGAAAATATGTGGTAACTTGAGATGGCCAGATGCCAGATCTCCTAAATTTATTACCTAAGGTAGGTGTTTGTGATGTAACCTTAAAACACAGCTGAGATGGAGGCAAAGTCAGGAAGCTTCTAGAAGTCCAGAAGTAAGAAGGAAATACATGCATTAGGGGCCAGAGAAAAAGAGAGCGATATCTCAAATGAATTTGCAAAAAAAAAAGGCAAATATTTACTGTGAGCTCAGTATGCTGGATGTTATGGGAATGGGTGGATAAAGCAGTAAATGAAACAGACTTGGGAGTTGACCTCACAGGCCTCTGGACAAGTTTTCTACAATCCAAATGTTTATCTATGCATTTTGACAAATGGCATACAAGAAAAGCACAAGATGCTTTGACACATGAGCCAGTGGGACTTGTTTTAAAGCTTGTATCCAGGGGAGGAGCTAGGGACACCCTCAGTGAAGTTCAGAGAGGTGATTGCATTCAGAAATATGCCAGAGCGTGACCATGGCTGTTGTATACTGGCGGGGGGAATGGGGGAGGGACATATTATAGAAAATGGCCCCATTTTGTTAAATAAGCTTAGCTTTTTTAGTTTTTGTTTTTTTCTTTACTTGAAAGGCAGACTTATAGAGAAAAAGAATCTTCCACATTGCTGGTTACTCCACATTGTTGCACAGCCAAATCTGGGCCAGTCTGAAGCCTGGAGTTTCCTCTGGTCGCTCACCTGAGTGCCAGGCTCCAAGGACTTGGGCCATCCTCTGCCGCCTTCCCAGACCATTAGCAGGGAAGTAGATCAAAAGTGGATTAGCTGGGACTCAAACCAGCACGGGTGTGGGAAACTGGTTTCACAGGCAAGTGGCTGGGCCAGCTACGTTACAACACTAGCCCCAAAATGCCTCATTTTTTTTTAAAGATTTATTTTTATTATTTTTTCATTGGAAAGGCAGATATACAGAGAGGAGAGACAGAGAGGAAGATCTTCCATCCGATGATTCACTCCCCAAGTGAGCGCAACGGGCCGATACTATGCCGATCCAAAGCCAGGAGCCTCTTCCGGGTCTCCCACGCGGGTGCAGGTTCCCAAAGCCTTGGGCTGTCCTCGACTGCCTTCCCAGGCCACAGGCAGGTAGCTGGAAGGGAAGCGGGGCTGCCGGGA